AAAGAGTGATTGTGTTTTTTCAAAACCTCCATCCTGTTGATGAGAGGAAAAGTAGTACATATCATCCAGCTTGGCAGGATGAGAGAAACTCTACTGTGATTTCCCTTGACCAGGTCACCTACCCTAAGCATTTATTTTATTCCTTAAAGCTACCTCCCTAATCAGCTTACAATTCCAGGATCTCTAGCAGGTCTCTGACTGCGTTTCTCAGGCTGTGGTGGGGGATGGTTCATTGCAGTCTTAGTAATTTTTGTTTCTTTGCGTGACTTATTCTGTGGATTTCTGTCTGGACCCTCTTCCAGAGCTCTGCTCATCTTTCTCACTAATCTGCAGCTCCTTCTGCATGTACTCTGGGTATCACTGTGTGATCAACCAATCTGCCTTTCAGCAGCTCTATAGTAACAGTGGTCGGGCAGTCAGTAATGCCTGCTGTAAAGCCCTGTGCTATCACATGGCAAATGTTCTCCTCCTTCCATCAGTGAGCTCTGGTGTCAGCAAACTGGCTCTGGCTGCCCAGCAAACCCCAGCAGCCTGCTGCTGGCAGCGTGCTGTTGGGAACAGCGTTACCCAAAAAGTGCTGCCCTTTGTTTGTTCTGAACTCGCTATGTGGTAGTATCAACGATTTTCTCCCTAGTTCTCATATACCAAAGTGACTCTTATTCCCCAGTCACCTTCTCCACATCACGGATAACTTCTTTAGACTGCTCTTAAATCTTCTGTCAGCCTGGATACCTTTGTCATCTTAAGTGTTGTGACCCTCTTTGGGTTCCAGATTCCTAACTGGGGCACTGCTCATCCGGGTCGTATCCTTAGAGCAGCTGAGCAGCCCTCGGAGCTAAAACCAGAGGCAGCCCCAGGCCTACCCCTCCCCAGCCCAGCTGGTCTGCTGATGAACCACTTGCAGAGGGACCATACCCTTGTGTGTGGTCTCCTGAACTAACAGCATTTCTGAGGAACAAAGATTACTTTCCTGTCTGTAACCTGCTAGTTTTAAGGCATCTTCAAAGCACAGCTAATAGTGTGTTGGTAACTGCAAGCTCCCTCCACTGAGCAGCTCTCTCTGGTGATGTTGCCTGGCCTGTTTCTGTGAATGCTTTTTCCCCAGCTTTTGCTAGTCAGCTGATTCAGAGCTCCAAAGGTGACCCTGGACAGGTAGATCCTCTGCTCTCACTGCTGAGCTGAGCCTGGCCCTGAGGACAGCAGGAGGACTGGTTCTGCTCAGGTGGAGGTGGAAAGTGGGGACCTGCCTGGCAGATGCTCACTTAGAGGGTAAGAGGATCCTCAGGATGTTCCTCACTTATCCATGTGCTCTTTCTGCTAGGTACAAGACAGAGCCTTCCCCAGAGAGGAGGGAAATGTGTCCGCCCTTCAGGAAGAACAATGAGAAGGGTGAATAGGTAAGGCAGGCTGCAGGATGCTTTTTGCCCCTTTAGTATGTGCCTTGTCTAGAGCTGCAATCCTAAATGACAGAGTCAGCTGCTGCTGCTGCTTGGACACCAGCAGGGCCCTCCCTGGGCACGAGGTGGGCTCTTCCCCTAGTCGCCGACAGATTAGTATGCAGGATAGTGCCACCTCACAACAGTATTTATAGGCACAAGTAAGAGACCAGGGTAGCTTGGGCGTGTGACATCCTTAAACTGTAAGGATTTATCCTTCCGATGTGTGTTTTATTTTACATTTGTCACTACTGGCCCCCTCGAGCTTGGCGAGGGCTCTTGGAAATCCCACATGGCTTTCTGACATCTCGGATAACTGGAACACTGAAGTAGCTGCTAATGCTGCTCAACTTTTCCAGGTGTTTTTTAAAGGAAAACACACTCGGGCACCAACTCTTGTTATGCTAGCTCTTGCCTTGTCTAAAATTAGCCACGTATTCCCAAAAGCTTTTGTCTCTCGCCCAATTTCTAACCTCCAGTGATGCTTTTTCTTGGCTTTGTTGGGACGGAGCTGCAGACCGGGCCCCAAAATGCTGGGAATTGTAGCAAAACCCACTTGGCTTTAGCTAGGGCATTGTGGGTCTGGAAGTGGTGCGATGCGCGTTGATCTCTGTCTCTCGTTGCTTTACCTATTACTAGTTGTTTCCCTTTTCCTTCCCTCGGAGGCTAACGCACCCGTCGGTCCCGGACCCGGCTTCCCAGCTGTCGCCGCGGAGCAGACGCAGGATTTCCCAGGAAATAAAAGAATTTCGTGCAGCAGCACCGCCGGCTCTGTCTCTCTGTCCCGCCGTCCATCCCGGCAGCGCCGGGCGCCGCGGGCCCT